TAAAGAACATGCTTTTTTAATTCAAGAAGTCATTAAGCTGGGATAATCTCTGAAACAGGATGTTGAAGACCGCAATGTCACTTGAGCCCAAAAGGCAATCAAATTTTTAAGCAAGGCATCCATCAAGAGCCATTAAAGGCAGGAGTATTCTGAGAGCTCAAAGTCTCTGAGACACAAATCACCTTTACCGAGAAAGTATACTGAGAACAGCATGCTTGTTCTCTTCTGGTAATCCTCCCTAAGCACTCTATAGATGAGATAGTGGACTAAATGGATCAATCCAGAGCAGTTGTTGTTACACATATGTTGTACTTGAATGGTTATGTACTCAGCACTTCACAGGCACAAAGTGTCTTCTTTTGTTTCTATGCCCAAAGTTGAAATTCACATCTAAATCACTCACAAACTTTGCAGAGGATATCACATAGGATATGATACTCCAAGATCATAATCTTTAGGAAAATTGCTTTGAAAACCTACTGACAAGTTAATTCCGAACAAAAAAACAACTCAGAAGTTACTTTGTTAGTTTGTTTCTATCCACAGAAAACTTTCTTGAATGCAAAAGAGTCAAAACTATATTTAGATGAACAGGCATATGGTTTTATGTTCTACGTAACATGGAACAGTCATGCAATTTAATAGAGGCTCCAGCAGTTCCAAGAGTTGAGGTGACAACACACAATTTCAAACACACACCACCCATACACAAAAAAATACTCCTACTGAATTCTGCTCACATACATCTCTATAATGAATACATAAATAATTATGTGCAATTATGAAACATTTGTTTTTGCGCAGTCACAAAGCTAAGAGTGATGAGGAATGAGAAACATTACAGTTTAGAAAACCATTATCCAAGACCATGAAAACAGCTTTGACAGACTGCAGTATTTCATATTCTCTCCCTCTCAGACAAACTATACGGCTGTCAATATTTGTGGGAAGTTATAACAGCTTACATTTTGGAGTGCAACATTGCTTAACTCTATGCATATCCAAAGCATTTTACTTTTTTAGAAACAAGAGCAGATGGGAGGCTGCTGGTAAACGCTTAAGAGATTTGTGATGTATTAACCAGACAAATACTAGAGGACAAGAGAGCAAGACTTGAAGGGGATGACCACATTTCAAATCAGACATTTTCATGTGAAACATCATTCTTAGCCTAATCTTATAGGCACATTCCCTTGAAGAAATTGGAATATTTTCAGAGCTAACTACAAGCAAAATAGTTCCAACAGTATTGAGAATCACAGTGAATAACAATCTGATTTCTGTGAGATAGGCTGGGGGATGGGTCACACAGCCAAAACTTTAGAGTTGTTCGACTTTTATTTTCTTCCTGAATATCCTGTATCATTCTCTTATTCAAGTGAGTTCAGATCATAACCTCATTGAAAGGCTTATGAGAGTTAATTCTTTGAAATTTTGATCCAATAACAACAATTATGCAATCCAAGTATAAGCCCTCCAGAGGTCAGCAGAAGTCAGGAGTCACAAATGAAGTCTCCTACTTTTCTCAATGCTAGTCAAAGAAATTGCGAAATATTTCTTTCATTGTAAACTCTACTCAAAATCTACTTTGATTTACTATTGATTCTCCTGTAGTATGAAAAAAAACAAACAAACTTTAGACAATTGGCCTTAGCAACATGTGAAATTCTAGACCTACAACTTATATATGATACACAACTCATTTACAGTTGTGTACATCACTTACAATGTCAGCACGAGCAATTACATTAGAACTCAATTTCTAGATATCCGAGGTTGAGAAATAATGCCTTATTCACTATCATAGATTACCAGTTCATTTTGACACGTCTTATCCATTTCGTATGTTAGCTCAGTGTAAACCTCCTACAGCCTGTGGCTGACAGTATCAGAATACATAAAAACACAAATAATGTACTTTTTATCAGAGTTTCAAGAGGAGTATGTACAATATCTGTTCATGTTGTACATCTTTGTAAAACCTATCATTTCTTTGCTCATAATATTACTCAGGAAAAATTTTAAGAGAACAACAACAATAAAAAAGAGAACAGCAGCATGATACTGTTACCCAATGTTCAGAATATATTCGATTAAAAAAAAAAAAAAAAGAAAAAAGAATGCAACAAAGCACACAGAGTGCTAAGCATTTCCTTGAGGCATTCTACAACTGCACAACTTGCCAAACGTTTAAGATTTAAAGATACATTCATAGTGAAAAGTAGAAAGCAAAAAGGGGAGGGGGAAGAAAAGGGGGAAGGCTTTTGACAAAGTCAAATTCTAACAGCAGCTTTACTACAGATGTGATTCCATATCAAGCCCTGTGGATTGTCACTATTGCATAAATCTATTCTGGTTTTTAAAGCTATAGGGAACGTAATACGGCATTACTGGTAGATCTCCACTCATGACATATAGAAAGCATACTGCATGTTACACGTGTACTGGATGCAATTTGGGGAAACATATTAACACTACAGAGTAGTTCTTGATTTTGTGCTGAGTCACACAAAGCAGCTATGACCGCAGTTCTGGGAAGGTCCCCAGCCACCTCACTGCTGGGACCACCCTTGGCTGAGGATCAAATCATTCATTTCAAAGTCACGTGAAGTCTTAAAAATGGCTTACTGCACTTCTAATTTAGCCTGCAYGTGGACAGGGAATGTAATAAGGGAAACTGACTTATAAATAAAAATTAATTAGAAATACAATTTGGCACACTTAGACTTCTATAGAATGTCATTTTTAATGAAATTCTAGTTCTTTTTCATTTTTAATACAGAACAAACTTTTCCAAGTATAAATTCCTAGGTAAAAGGAATAGTGAAATATCTATCTGTATGGTAGAATGCAAATGTACTTTTATTAAAACATATTTTAGAAATAAAAGCTACCTATTTCACCCAGAAATACATATCTTCAAATAATAAATACAATCTTAATGGGAAAGCACCAAATGAACACATTTTTGACTACTTGGGAATCCCTCAGTATAGAAATAAGCTGATTATAGCAGTGTCATGTCAGAAATATCAGGTACACTACTTTAAAACATGAAACACTATGTAATGTTTCAAGTCTTTGCTGCTTTGAAGCCACTAGTTGTACAATTCTGGCCACTTAATGAAAGAGGCTGTATTCTATTTCAGGTGAGAACCTCAAGATGGGAAATAACATATAACACATGCAGGAGTTTAAAAGACAGATTAACTTAAGCAGAAAAATACTACCACTAAGACCAATAGCTCGCACTCAATATCTCAATATAATGTTAACTGTTAGCCTATTTTCAGAAGCTAGTGCTAAAATATAATCCCCCCTGGAACAYTGTGATACACACTAGTTGTTGCTGGAAAGGAATTAATGGCGGCAGGAGACAGACTAATATCTCCTCCTCCCTTAGAAACTTTTTCCTCAACTATTTATTATGTTGCTTTACTATTAAAGACTCATCATGAATATAAGCTCTGAATCATATTTCACATAATATAGCAATACTTGTGACCACATAGTGATCTCAATAGAAGCATAAATTCAATTAGGATTTTCTGAGTTAGGTTTTGAAGGCACCTTATAAAAAACCAATGGCAAGAATCATTTATTTCAGGTAATAGCTCAGTACCGGCTTCATTTTTTTTTTTATTTTTATTTTTTTTTATTTTTTTTGTTAAGCTATGATCTATTTTGCTTTGGAAGAAGAGACATTTCAAAACAGTATTTTGGGATGTGCCTCTTGGATAACCTCATTTGGTTGGCAAATGTAAAACAGAAGTAAGGCCGTCTGAACACATGCAGTGTGCACAGTGATGTCTTTGAAGTATTTTGGGAGGAATGAGAGAATCTGGTCGCAATTAAGCCCAAGTCCTGCGCTTACAAGGACCTCTGGCCCTTTCAAACAATTCAAGATCGCACAAAGCTGCAGGCTTGGCAAACACAGACACTCATATTCTAAAATTCATGCCTAAAGAAAAGCGCTGTTTTTTTTTGTGGGGAAAAAAAAAAAAACACGCATAACTTCACACAAATACCTCAGCAATAAGGAGTGTTTAAAACCTAACACCTGTGACCTGAATAGTATTTCACAACTTACAGTACTTTTAAATATGTTGCATAGTATTATGTACAGTGATAATATACATCATTCTGAACAGCAGCTATGGGAAAGATTAAGATATTTTTGATAAATTTGAGTGGTTACTATAGGATATTTCTAATGGAATAAGTAGTATACGTTGCTTGGTAAAGCTAGTTTTTGATAATTTCCTGTGTATATCTAGGGTTAATTTTAAAACTCTAACAATAAACTCAATGTTTATTTTCACCACTGAGACCTCCAGGGGTTCCTTCTATCCTGAACTACGTTACAATCCTAAAAAGGCCCAAAGACAGATTAAATCCCTTTAAATCCCTGGTTTTATAACTAACATGACAATTATTTTACAGRCACATCTGTCTCACTTTCAGTGTCCCCAAACTATGTCTCTGCTTTTGATATAAACTTACCTCTCCTCTAGGAAGGTGTATTTTACAGGTGGTTTGCAGCTCAGGATTTATAGAATAAATTGTAAATCGTACTACAATGGTTACTGGAGAACCCTGATACTTATTTCAATCTCGTAATGTTGTATTTGTATATTTTTCATATTAGTCTATTCTATCATTTTAATTAGAGGTTTTTTTGAAAAGATATTTCATGCTACCCAAAACTGTGCTTCCAACTTTTCAACAGGAAAATTTACTATTTTCAAATAGTAAATGCTGCTGTCAGGTTTACTTGATTTTTCTCTCTCTGCTTACAACTAATCATCTCTGATTGTCCTGCTTATTTTAAATTCATTTTGTGAGATAAAATGAGCCTGTCAAAATATTCTCTATAATATACATCCTTTTACGTATTTATTTATATAGATATATATATATAAATAAATATTATTTCAGAAAGACAAAGCAAGAGATAGAAAAGAAAACCAAGAGAATAATGGGCTAATCTTTGTACTTACGAAAAGCTCTATAGAATTCTTCCAGAGCTAGACGCTTGTCACTGTTATAATCATCATATTTCAGCAAATCGAAAAGAGAGCAGTCAGACAGATCCTTGCCAAGCTCAGCCCGTTTTATTACCTGACAAGAAAATTATAACCATGAAATTACATTTGAGCTCTTAAGAGTTCTCTGGCATAATTAATTGTTTCTAATCATCACTTAATAGATCATTTTAAGGTTGCTTTGGGGCAATGAACTGCAACTGTGTAAAGTCAGGRATTTCCAGCTACTTTCTAAGTATTTATTGCAGTTTTAAAAGTTAATACCTTTAGAATAGAGTCACTGAGATTATATAAAAGTTTCTGGAATGTATAGAGTATATAGTGTGGCTAGACAGAAGCACAATAAAAATATTGTGAATGGCAAACCTGATTTTACATTTCAYGCATGGTGAAGAAAAGCCAAGAGATACACCAAATAAAATTTCCCATGTATATATGATGTAATCTTTTTTTTTTCCTCAATCTTAATTCTCAACTTCAAAAAATTAACTAAAACAAACCCATGTTACATTACTAATTATATCAACTACCTTCAGACTTTTCACAAGCCTCCTGACATCCCAAAAACCTGACACAGAAGTAGTCAATCTGATAAGACTGCTCAGTTTCTCAGCAGAGGGCATATCCACTTTGGAAGTGGATCATAATTAACAGTTGTTAGATTTCTACTCAAATGATCTCCCAGAGAAAGGTTAATTTGTGTATCATTTAGATTTGATGTCAGTACATACTGAAGACCTCTCCTTGGCTTACATCCAAGGAATTTTAAGATATTAATAACTACAAGTGTTCAGAATTTGCATCTTACACYGTATATACTCAAAATAAACAAGTGAAACAAACAAAAGCCACAAAACAACAAAACAACTCCTATAACAAACATAGCAAACTTGAAAACTTTTTTAAACAGACAGAGATTAGAGCTCAGTTCTCTGTAAAATAATTATTCTTCCTGTCCTCCATTAGTCTCTACAAAGAACTGTAATCATATTTGTATTATCATATGGTAGCTTCTAGAAAGGAAAGGATACAGAGACAGACTTTTTTTTCAGTTGCTCTGCAAAGGAATCAACAGGAGTAGAAAGGAATAGATTTAATTACTATTTCTGCAGGCAGAATATTTCTAAACAAATAACACAGAACAAAAAGAACATTAAGAGCACAGAGATGGAATATAAACATTTTTTGCTCTTTCCATTTCCTATACATTAATATAAAGCATTACAGAAGATAATAACCTTCTTAGTAAGTTAGAAAGTAAGAAAACTATTCAAATCAAATACTGCCACACAGCTAGCTTTAGCTCTTATCAATAAGGGCACATACCACACCACTACTCATACTTTAAAAGCCTACTAATTAGTTTTACACTAAACCAGAATAAGAAAAATGAAGTTTCATTCTGTAAAGGACAGCAATGTAGTCACAGAAATAATAACAGTTGTAASTCCACCACTTTTACAAAGGTAATGCTGCAGATAAAATGATATACATTGGAAACATTATTATAAGAAATCTCTAAGCTTCTGAGGCCACAAAATGTGTTTAATATCACAGCTGACCCATTAAAATAAAACATTTTCTGTGACAAGCACTTGTTACTTTCCTTGTCTTTTGCTCTGAATTAATTTAAAACACTTATTCCTATYAGTTTTGATTGTACAGGGAAGGATTAAGCTGCTTCAAACTTCTAAGCTGGTGCAATAAAACTCATTGTTAAAGACACCAATACTTCCCATTATAGCATCATACTTTTAATTGTTTATCAGCAATCTCATCTTCAAACATTTGGATTGATTTTTTTCATGTCTGAAATCTGTCTTATGAGTTTTTCATTTATATTTGTTCCAATTTACTTATATAGATTAAATAGCTAGAATGATTTAGACATTTTCAATAATAATGCTACAGACAGACAGTATTGATTCTGGAAGATATGTAATAGGTATGTTAATTTTAATGCTTAGTAGTTCCATCATTTTAATTGTTAATTCAGTATTTGTGTGTATATATAAGCCCTACTTTGGAAACATGCCTTGGAATCCTTTAAAAAAAATGTCACACAGTCTCGACCAATGTGTAGATGTCTCAAAAATGTCAGTGAGTACAGACTTCAGATGATAAAAAAGCAATTTTATATCATGATTAATCTGAATTATCCATTATCTGCTGCTAAAAAGACTAGCATCTTTTGAGCTTTCACACCCATCTGTGCTCTGTGGATCAAAACAACTCTCTGATTGAAAGCAAAACTAATCTTTGTGCATTTTTTTCCTTCCCTTCCACTCCAAGGAGGGGAGGTGGGAATTAATATTCTTTCATGAGATGTGACAGAAAACAGACATTAGGACGTGGGAATTTGGATTCTAAATATTACCCATTTCTGTAGCAAATTRCACTTAGACTAGACTGACTGGTACATGAACCTATACAAACCTGTTGCACACTAAAACTGGCCACATTCCAAGCTATTAGCAGAGTTGATGCTAAGCGACTTATGGTCAAACGCTTTAAAATCAGCAMAACCGAAAAACTTTTCTCCTACAGTCCCTAAATCACCGTCTATGGGGATCTTTCTTGTTGATATTAACATTTAATATGTGTTTACATATCAGGGAAATTCTGTAATATAGGACTGATGCTGACACTGTACAATATTCAAAGAAGGGAAAGAAGAATGAATAGTATCACTTCAAGAAACAAACGCTGAAATACACACAAAAAAAACACCAACTATTTTTGTATTAATAAATGTTTTCACAAAMGGATTTTTTAACACAGTTTTCTAGGCTAGTCTAGTCTCCTAGACTGTCAAACAACACTAATTTCATTTCCTTTACTTAGAAATTTAATTTATAAAGGCAGCTTGGTAAACAAAATAGATTCTTGCAAATATTTTCAATTTATTACATTATACCATTGCAAGAGAAACTAATACTAAGCAATACCGATAACACACCCCTTGCATGAATAAAAATGTCATTAACTGCAAAACTTGAAGAAATAGATGTCAGTGAGGAATCACCAACTGAAGCAATCTAATGGGATTTTGAAAGGGCTAGTATTCATCTCAATCTTTTTTGAKAATTTAAATATAAATATTAAAAAAAAATGGCAGATGGTAAATCCTGGTGAGGTGAATAATAATGCAGAGAAGAACAGAGCAGCATATGGAATGGATCACAAAGTTACATAGAAGCATGTGTGATCCATAAAGCCAAATTCAAGGTCACTCATCTAAAACCAAGAATAGGAACAAATATATTTCAATAGGAACTTCAATAGGAACAAATGTATTTCAGAAAGGTGGATAAAGAAGGCATCGTAAACTCCTGGATCATTCTGTACTGAAACCAAGCACTCCAATGTTTGGCTACGTAACAAGCTAACTGGGAGTAGAAAGAATATTTTTACTTCTGTATATTGCAATGTTGGGACTGGTACTAAAACACAACATGCTATTTTGACTYGCACATACTAGATTAAACGAAAAAATAAAAGCCTACTTTTCAAGTTAAAAAGGTCAAGCAAAATTAATAGGAAATCTATTGAGGACATTTTGCCTTACACAAGTTAAGAATCTCGACACTTTTTTTAAATCTTTCTCAAAAGTCTTCTATTATGACATTTTATAGGTATCTTCATAAAGGAAAATAATTACTCACAGACTTTTCAGTTTAGCAAACACTAGTTAATGAGACAAGAAACTTGAATAAAAACTCTACAAGAAGAGAGTAAAAAGATACAATAACAATTAACTTTATATTCTGGGGCTCTAAAGTTTTCCTTAACATTTTGAAATCAAGGCTGCATACCTTTCTTTACATTTTTTGCTTCAGTTTCTTGCAAGTTGCAAGTTATTACCATTTCTGTACTAAATATATAAAGCAAATTGAATGAAATTCYATGTCTATGATAAAAAAGATAGATTTGATGAGCTAATAGTCTCCCTCTTCACGTTTCAGAAAGAGAAGGGAGTAAAATTCACGGAAACTAATTCTCAAACCAATTCTTTAAGCAAAATTTGTTTATTCCCTGGTTAAATAGAATGAAAAAAAAATTAGTAATGGAGGAGAAAAACAGATAAATGTTAATGAATCATATTCTAGAAATTCCAGGCTCTTCTGAGATTCATATGATATCATGCTCAAATACGGCAAATTTTCCTTTGCATTTCCATAAGACATTCTAACAGCCCTTCTCTCTACTKGCTATTCTTATATTTAACTGTACACATTCTAACTCAACAGAGTCATGATATAATTATCAGTAGTTATAAGAATTAACCCCCATTCAAGAAAATCCAGTGCTTCTGCTTAAAAAGAAAGTTAGCAAACATTGACCAAGCTGCAGGTATTTAGGACTATGATCGCAAAATTTATAAGCAATATCCTACTTCTAGTTCTTAATATCTTTTTTTTTTTCTCTTCCCATTATTTTAGACTTTTCTTCTAGTATTCTTATTTTTATTTTACATCCAGAATAGAAGATGAGGGACAGTTTAAGTTTTACTTAAGCTGTAAAGATAAATAGTACATTCTATATAATGATTTATCCTTAAGTAATGAGAGGGGAGGGAGGAAGTTAGCAAACAAAGTTCTGTCTATGATGTATGGGAGATAAAAGCAATAATGCTTATTAAGAAGTTTGGAAATGTATTTAAATAGAAAAATAGAAAAGATGGGCAATATCCCTTTTCCCAACTCCAAATTCTCCAAACAAAAGAAAAAGGAAAGAAGGGGGAGAGGGTTCCTTTTTTTTGAAAGGAAAAAGCCATAAGTCATAAAGAAGAGTTAAAAAAGTAAGGGTTAAGGTCTACAAAGCACACTGATCAAAAAATTAGGCATATCAGTATCAAAAGTAAAGATGTAATTTTTATTAGATCCAGCTGAGCAAACAGGTGCTACAGAGATTCAGCTGACCCAAAGTTGCATCATTATTATCATTAATGAAACATTAAAGAAACAGAGATTGAATCCTGTTGCGGTTTTTTCAGATTTCTGTGGAACAACACACAGAATGTAGTTTAGGAATCTTGGTCTCTGAGAGAAAAGATACAGTCATAACTTGGTTCAAGTTGTTGGTCACATAAAAGAGAATATGCATCCATTCTTTATTAACAAATAATCAACATTTTGTTGTCAAATACAATAACAAAACATTATTGAAGCAAATCCAAAAAGGTCTTAAAGTGCAAACAAGAAACTAATTAGAATTGTTATCTCATCATTACATTTAACAACAATTACTGCTGCATTATACACTAAAGTTTATTAAACTTTCAGATTAGATTTTAAGCTAACATACAATAAGTTGTTCATAGATACAGTTCTACAGATCTATAGAAAACTGTTCTATTACAACAGAGCATATTCCTGAAAATTACAGAGAACTGCAACTACTTGCATACAGCAATATAAACTAGCAATTAATTTGCTCTATTAGAATTTGTTCCTTTTTCTTCTACAACTTATTTTGCACCAGAACTCTTAAGCTGATACTCATCAAGATGCTATACATTCACCAACCTGTGTATCTATATACAAACCCACATGGATTTGAAGCACTGTTCAAGTATTCCACATATTTTATGAGAAGTCTGGCACTTTGGTACCACCTGTGCTTGAAGCACATAAAATTTATATGCAAAAAAGAGCATATTATTCATTTAGTAATAATAATGTAGTTCTCATTATGAGCACCTACCATCTTTCCTTGAACAGTGGTGAACTTTGTGCAGTATCCTGATAGTGAGTGGTTCATTTTGTTGTTGTTTTCAGGTTTTTTTTGTGTGCTTTTTTTTGTTTGTTTGGGTTGGTTTAAGCAACCCAACCATTGACCAGAAGTTAATGACATTGAAAAAAAATCATTGAAATAAAGGCAAGAAAAACAAGGAGTTAATAAAAGTTTAGCATATTTTTATTTCCCCAATGTTATTCTGGTAAATAAGAGAAATATAGTCAGATATGCGAGATATTAAATAATAAGAATGCTAAATTCTTTCTTCAAGTAGATCATTAAAAAGAGGTAAAAGGAAGAGGACAATCTATGTACAACTTGCCTTTACTTGCCATGTTACTTGAGAAAAATTTTCCTTTTCCAGTTATTTTATTAACTCACTAGTATATCAAATAAATAGAAGGAAAAGAGTCCTAAGTTTAATCCAGTAGAGATTGTTTCATTTTCACCCACACAAGCAACTTTAGTTTTATTGTTTGACAGGATGAAGTAATCTTAAAGCTTATGTATCTTTCACTGATGATAAACAGAAAAGCTTCACTATTATAAAAGGGCAACTCCAGGATACAAGCATTAATCATTAGACAGAGGAAGAAAAAAAGAAAATACAACCAAGACGCAATCACTCATTTTATTGCTCTGTGTCTCCATAATAATTCTGATGCTTTTTCTCTCCTATATAGCAACAGAAATATGCAGTAATCAAGCACTCTACAGTAAGAGGAACACTGAAGTTCACGTGTAATAAATTCTAGTTGTTTTTGCATATGACAAAACAGAACAGATTAAAAAAAGTCATTTTGTAACTGAAGATTCCTAGCTAACATCAGAAGAATAGATCATCTTCCTTGATTTGAGATTCATTTAAATTCTTTCAAAGTGATAAAAATGATAAACTTTAAGAAATCACTCCAAGAGATGCAATTACAAAAAGTCTTGTAGATATCTCCTAATAATATTAAATAAGAGGTGATGACAATGATAATTTTGTCTAAATATTTTCTAGTTAGTATTTGCCTCTCCAAGTACCAAGATTAACGTCATCAGCTGGTGCTCGCAAAAACAACAGAGCCGGGGTCCTGTTTGGGTATTGCACATGAAGTGAATTAAGCTGAGCAGTGAAAGTAATCAAGTTAGATATTTTAATGTAGTAACTTTAACAGTGAAAATAAATGATATTTTTAAACAGCCTCATTATTTGAAATAACTGTTTAATATGTTTTTGTGACAAAGCTCTCTTTCTAGAGAACAGTAGCCATTTTTTTATGCTGAGATCCAAATATAAGAATATTACTATTTCTGAACCAAAATACACCAATAAAAATTCCACTGTTACTCTTATTTTAAATCTGCAACTAATACACCTGAATTTTAAATTAGGTAAGATTAATACACAGACAAGATGATAAAATGTACTGAAAGAACCTGACTGCTTCTGTACTTTTCAATATGGCAAAATGGAGGTGCTGTCAGATTTATGATGCAGCAAAAACTTAAGTTCTAGCTCAAATTTACTTGAATACAAAGAAAACAAACTCACGTGWATACTTCTTTTCTATCACAAATAAGTTGTTTTTCATACTCTACTAATAACATTACATTTAAAATGTAGAAAAGTACTTTATCCACAGGTATAGGCATGAGAAACTTTTATACTGCAAAATTTTGAATGGAATTGTGAGCATAACTGAAGATGAAAATCATGTTACATGATTGAAACATGATTGAGAGCATTTTCCAGAGCACAATAATGTCTCCCATTCAGACACAGGAAATTAYCAAGATGTTCAAAAGTGTGTCTGCCTCCTCACTCCTCTCCCACCCTACGACCCCCAATAAATAAACAGTAAATCATCTTTCCAAAATTAATGAGACCACTGTTCTCTCACATCCAGGAACCTCTCTTTGATTACAAATCAATACCTACAATTTTCTAAATAAGATGCTCAAGACTTTTTTTGCTTCTTCTCTTCGTCAAAGCAATTTCAATTTTCAGATATGCTGATTGTTATCATATACATTAAACAAGAGAAGGAAAAGAAAAAAAAAAGCACTTATCAAGAACAACAAAAGAATCCAGTGGATAAGTCACAGCACTATCTAAAAAAAAGTGTCAAGCATTCAAAAATCACAAATAATGCTCTGAAAAAACTGCACATTTAGTTTAATTTTTTAAAATTGCATTAAATTCCCTTAATTTGACTCCTTGTTAGTCTTCAAGGAAAACTGAATGACATGCTTGCATTGTTCTCAGCAAATAGGCTAAAAATTCCCTCCTTCAAACAAAGGTTAAGATTTACAAATATCAAGGTTATCCAGGTGCTAAATTTTAACTGCAGAGATTAAGATCACAGCGGATGTGTATTCATATCTAAGATCATTCAGCACTTCCTTTCACGATATGAAGGGGAGGCAAGGGCTCTCAGCTGAGGCTGCTACCATCCAGAAGGCACCAAGAGAAGCTCCCACATCATTGCTCTTCTTCAGTGTTCAAGATGATTAAAGAACAGCTTCTGAATTCATTAACTTCATTTGCTCAACAGTTTAGCTCATTCTTCCTCATGGCAATTCCTTTTAGAAATTCATTTTTACAGACCAAAAGTATGTAAAGCAACGCTGACAACACTGTACTGTAAGGACTTACAGATTTTTAACAGCACTCCAACATGAAGAAAAAAGGAAAGAAAAAAAGTATAGCTATGACAACTGAAGACTAAGAAGTGCTTGAGAAGAATTGTAAAACATGCAAATGCCTCTTGATGCTGACCTTCAGCACTAGTACCACACTGCTGAGCCTCTACTGACAAGATTATCATTCCCTGATAAGATGATGGATTTGTAGTGATCACAAATATCCAGCTAATTTCCACGGTCTAAGTAGGACTATGGCAAAGAAACCCAACCATTTCTAGTGGTAAAATAAATAAGGTTTTAAAATTCAGTTTCTGTTGCTAACCAATACATGAATCACTCTAATGTTCTCTTTCAAGTGTTGATTATAGATATCTATCAAGTACTAAATTTAAGTATAAATATATATGAACTCTAGGTATTCATACAGAATGTAAATTTAAAAACATTATTTGTTATATATATGCAAATTCCTGCAAAAGCTGAAAAAATCTAAAATTATTATAGAGCTTGCAAACATGATTTATTTTCTATCTTTTTTAATGGATAATTTATTATTACTTAAAAATTCACCCACATTTGCATGTAGCTTTTATTCATACAAAATATATCTATCCTGGAAGCTGCCATCTGAACATCAAAAGTGAACTGTAGTGGAAATGACAAGTCTAGCCTTTTTTTATTATTATTTATTTATTTATTTATTTTTAAACCCTGGGTATTACATCTTCACTCATAAGTAGTTTTTAACTCTTTCACTCACCTTAAAGTACAGCGTTCCAATCAACAGTGTCATATAGGAAACCATATTCTTGAATTTTATGTGGCTTAGCAATATTTAATATATTAATGTAGTTCTGTCACAATCATTTCTCAGGCATAGATTTTTACATGGGCTTGTAAAACAAAGTACATTTGCTATGTTCCTCTTCTCTTATCTTTTTAGGCGGATTAAAGTTAGCTTATCAAAGCAACGATTCTTTGCTTAGGTCTCTAATTGGCAGAGGTGGCTGTTTAGAGACTGCCATGAACTCTCTCTTCTTATACTGCTACTCTGTTCCTCTAGAGCTCTTACTTATTTTCATATCTACATAAAACAACAACATTCTCATATGTTCTCATTCTCAATGAGAATATTCTCAATGAGAATGAGAATGTTCTCATATGTTCTCATTCTCAATGTTCTCAGATGTTCTTATTCTCAATTCTCATTAATATTTTCTTTTCAAAATTTCTGAAAAATATTCCTCCAAGAGGCTAATATATAGTCTCAAAAGTGAAAACATCCTAACACATAATATGACATATATGCAAATGGTCCCACTTACTTTGCAGCCGCTAACACAGCTGAATAGCTATTATGCTAACCGAAATAAAAATCTAAATCTTACCTGAGATAATTCATTACTATCCACAAGTCCATTGTTGTCGGAATCAAAATAATTAAACATGTGATCTACAAGAAGTTTCCGTAAAGACATTTTCTCTTCATCRTTTTTATCTTTTGACTGTGTAACATATCTCCGGTTTTGTAGATCCAATAACATATTTTTTATTTCATTGTATTCAGTAGGTTTACATTTATCACCTGAAAAAGAAATAAAATACACAAGATAAGCTTATTCTGAATTYGATTTTCTAAAACGACAGCAGAGCTAATAGAGTGCTTTGACTTCTTATAATTGTTAACAACATTATAACGAGGTTGCTTTATAAAGTAAGGAATTTTCTCTGTAACCATTTGAACMAAGTAATTTATGTGGTCTTCAGCATAGGTCAGAATATACTGTACTTTTAGATATTTTTTGAAGTTCTCCATCTATAGAAACTAAGGGAAACTTTTTAAAAGTTTTAAAGTCTACTCTTTTCCCATTTTAGATCATCACGTGTTACACTTGGTAAAGCAAGTTTTCTTTTCTTTTTTNTTTTTTTTTTTTTTTTTTTTTATTTTTGATATACAGAATAAACACTACCTCATGCAAAGTCAACTGTGAAAAGTCTGTCAGTACAACAGGTTAGACTTCTTTCTGAAATTTTCAGTACTACTAAGAAAAGAATAGAATGCAGTTACACTTTTGGTCACGCTCCTAATTATGCTACCAGAATGTTATTTTCAATCAAATACCTGACTGATTAAGTTGCCCTCGTACATACACTGCTTATATTACCATATTAAAAAAACAAACAAAAAAAAAAACAACCCACAATTGTTGGACAGCATTCTGCTAATTTCTGTTACAGGCGTTCCATGTAGGAAAAATAAAAATGAAATGTTATGTCAAATTCCATAATTTTCTTTAGAAATATCTTAAATCATAAAAGAAGCTCAAACTTGTCAACACATTGTATTAACATTGATATGTTATAGAAAATTGAATGAGAAAAAGAGACTGTTGTTTAACTACACAGGAAGAAATAGTTAATTATTTTACAGATTCTGAAACATTAATCATAACGACACCTTGTTGAAAACCTGATATAAATAAGGTGACTGCAGTTCACCAAGCAATTTCAAATTTCTACAATCCATCTTTGACAAACGATTTTTTCATACTTAACAAGAGTTTAAACCTCTCTGATGTTGTCTGCGCCATATCTGTAACATAGCAACTGTAATTTCGTCTCACTGTGTACCTGCTCACTCTACTGATCAACCTGACTCTGAATTACAGTTCCAGTCATGATGGTCTATTCAATTCTCATATGCTTGCAATGGCTGGTAGGGCACAGACCAATATTTTTTTAGTAWTTAACTAACCTGTCTGGGAGCTCACAATGACAACATTGCTAACATCTTTGAGAAAAACACTACTTCAGTCATCAATTCTGGTTTAAAGAAGATGCTACCCTATTTCTCATTTATTTAATTAGGTTGATCTAGTCCAAATAGAAGACACTTTATCAACAGCTACTTTCTCAGATGCATCATACSTTCTCTGACCACACTGCACTGCATTTCTCTATCCGCAATATAAAAGTAATATTGCCCTCTATCTGAAAAGTACGGCAGCACACAAGCACACAATTTGCAAAGGTTAGAGTGGAAAACAATACTCAGGCTTTTGAGCACATTCTCAGTAGTCTACAGTATTTTAAAAATGAGCTTATAAAAGAATACTAAAAATATATGTTTTTATCTCTGTAGCTCTTTGAGGGTTGTTCTTGACAGTTCACAATGAATAATGTAAGAATAACATGACTTATTTCTCCTTCAAACATAGCATAAAATTAATCTATTTGATAAACCTCGGTAGGAAGGTGGAAGTTCAGACTGGGCAGACAGGGTACAGGGCTGCATTTGATGAATGGTTACTTTACCTGTTCCTCTACATTATTATATTGACCAAGATTATCAAACTGATTTTAAAGGATGTGATAAACACTTTACTATAAATAAAAATGGTAATCACTTCCAAACACTAATGAATTCTCTTTCTTTTTACTAATTTTACTTTACGTTGCCACAAGTCAAATGAGAGAACACGGGAAAAAGTATTGTCTACAACACGTAACCTTTAATCAGTACACCTACCTAAATGCTTACATTCCTCAAAAATCATCTGAACAGTGTATGGCAATATTACCCTATTGTATAGGTAGGGCCATTTTTTTCCATCTCATTTTTCACCGTATTTGGCCAAGACAAATTATCTCTTGTAATAGAATTATTTCATAAACATTGATCTAATGCCCGTCTATAAATTTCAGCCTCATTCTAACACAGATTTTAAGTTAGTGACAATAAGGCTCATAACAATTTAGGCAAATTACMGTTGTGGTAAAACAGGATTACACAACCATATTGCATGACAGTATTTGAGTTTTATACAGTATTGAAGATGGTCTTTATGCCATCGTATAAAGGACTTCATGAAGTTGTATGTACGGCCAAAACGATGAAGAGCTTAAGAGACAGAAAAAGAGAGGCCACAACTGCCTTTTTCTGTAATATACAAGGAAATATAAAGTAGGTGTTTTAATTGGGAGAATGAGGCTCTGCTGAGGCTTACTCCAAGGTTGGAGTAACAGCACAGGGAAAGTATACAGAGTTGTATTACTAATGTTACAACTTATTAAAAATTATTTTTGAAATAGTCACTTGAATGGCATACAAGAGGTAAAGAGAGATTAAGTATGACAAGCTTGAAGGTTAGGAAAAGCAATTTGTGTTTAATTTAATGGAAAAGGACAAACTGGTGGAAAAATTGCATTACTCACAATGCTCTGAAAGCCAAAGGAGATGGCATTTGACAAAACCTGAGGGGATTAGTTTGCAGTTATCAAGATACATGATGAAAATCATGACAACAGACTCTTTCAGACCACAGACACATTTTCAAATTTATCACAATGATTATACYGTTACCTTCAAGGCAGTCAGTTGAAGAAAATGTAGTACAGTTGCAATTCTGAATACTACGGCTTCATTAAAAATACTGAAGGTATTTTAGATTTTGAAGGTTCCTTTCATAATTCATTTAGAGTATACAACTAGCCATCATTAATGAATTACATTACCATCATCATCATACAAAAATTCCAATTTTTACGTAACAATTTATAGAAGCCTGAATAACAGTGGTTCATCTAACTGTGCAAAGTATATACTAAGTTTACATTAGTTTTATATAAACACATATTTATGTTATTGTGCCTATACATAATGCATGTGTGTGTGAATGTGTGTGTGTGCATAGGTTAAATATGCTATGTGTATRTATATTATGTATACTTTAATAATGCCAATGATCCTAATATGAGCAAATGGTTATTATTTTAAGTAATACTAAAAAATAGTAATAGAACAAGAAAAAAATAATTTGCTATAATCCCAATATTTTTATCTAGGGAAAGAACACAGCTTCTCTACAATGATTTATTTTACAAGTTCTATCTTACCTTCTAGGGATTTCTTGCAAGCAAGAAAATCAAAAGGATCAAAGAAAGCGCCCAAAAAAAAAAAAAGTGAAATAGCAATAGTCTTATGCTTTCCTTGATAAAAATTCAAAAATAGTGAAAAGTGGAAACACTTGATAATTTCTTTTTCCTTTCCTGCAGCTATATTTTAGTTACCTAGGAAACAGCTGAAGTTAGAGATTCTGAGTGCTATTGTCCTCCTAGACAATTTTGAATAGATGATATTTGTCCATCAAACATGACAAAAAAATTTATATTTGACAATTTAAGTCTTAATTTCCAGAGAAAAAAAGAAATATGAATTAGTTAAGGAACCTTAGCAAATGAATATTGCACAGTATTGTTTTTAGCACTCACAGAAGAAAAATGAGAGATYGAACTAGGATAATACTTTTAGGAGACAGATCCTTAAATCCAAACCTCTGATATTTTTATCTCATTTTGCATGGAAATACAGTAGCATGTAGAGAACAAAAGAAATACCATCTGATTAAACAAACACTTCACTGATTTAATATGTAATACAAGTCTTTAACTCTTTAATGCCTTAGTAGCTTCATGAAAACAGAAATAATTCTTGCCTCAAAGCATCATCAAGAGTCACTAATATTAATTGAGACTCTTTATTCCCACAAACACACTACTAAGCTGAGTTGCACCCTTTATATTATAAATACTTTCCACAAAGTCATCTTATTCAAATTTAAAGAACCACCAGTCTTTCCAGAAACAGCAACTAGTCTTTAATGGGCTTGTTGTGTAATAGTCCACAATGAATCTAAATACAAATAAGATTTAAAAAAAAAATGGATAAACCTGATAAGCAGCACACCTACTATCTTCTGCATGCACTCTGGGCATAATCAGTACATAATCTAGGAGACAAAACATTTAACTATAAAATTTATAGTGTTACTTCGCATAGAAAAACTGAGCAATTAACTCAAAGTAACATACATCTCAATTAACTCAAAGTAACATACATCTATATACTTATAAAATCCAAATGTACATACACCCAAAACACAAAGAAAGACTGGTGAAGTTATCAAAGAAATAGTGTGATCTCAATTCAATTTCAAACATAACAAAAGCAGCAACTTGTAAGTTTTTTATCAGTTATCTTTCAGGATCGAGTCAGTATAGAAGAAACATGAAAACTTGCAATCTTATTCATAGTCCTAACAGATAAAGAAACATTTTAAGTCATCAAAATTGCTTGGGCTTATCTGAAAGAAACTTCGAGTTCAGGTAGCATTTAACAACATCTTTTTCTCCAATATCAAGTTCACATTTTCCACATCAAGAGCTAGCTCAACAGCTTTGACCCAAGTTCCCTCCATCCTCCAGTCCCCATCCCCTCATCACTGAAGGTCTGCGCTTGCAGTTAAAGAGAAGCAGTTTCATTTGTAYGTTGACTTGAGCTGTCATCTACAGTTCAGGGATGGGGAAAGGAAGTAGGGGAGCACAAAAGCAAACCCAATATTTTTTCAATATAAAATTCTTGGCTGAACAAAGATTATCATCAATATTTTCTCTGCTGCAACCATGATTCAAATAAAAATTAAATAAAATTAATAACAGATGTTAAATTTTACATCATTTTGGAAAGCCTGTGAATCTTGACCCTGTAGTTCAGTATCAGGTGGTTTTTTTTTTTTTTGTATTTCT